GGCTCTGGTCTCTGAAGAATACTCCATATGCAAGCGTCGGTGCTCCTCACAAAGACAGAACTCTATACATTCATGACTCTGTTATTGTTGTACAGCACAAACATGCTTCTTTCCTACGTTTTGTGCTTGATTTCATTTTCTTGCCAGCTGTGTCGTGATACTTTTTCCCTCCTAATTTGCAAACTGTTTTTAAACAGTTTGCAAACGCAAGTAAAACCTGCGTGAATCATGCTGCTACCTTAGAAACGAATACGTCCGTAAAAGAGGGCCCGGGTATGGAAACAGGGCTTTGTGCTAGGGGAATCAAGTTTAACAGCTCCCTGGTTAGGACAGGTCAGACATGGCCCGCTGAAAACCAAGCATCAGCCAACAGTGGGTCATCTTAAAACTGTCTTTGAAATCCTGAACCTGCCCACCGTGTGCATCTCGTCATCATCTCTGCGACGCTCGTCAGCCTATGCAAAGCAGACCTGCCAGAAAGGAAGATCCTAGAGCCAGTGACTGGAGGATCCAGCCAAACCTGCTACTTGTCCACACCCTTGGCTTTCTACTGCCTTAGGAAGGGGACGGTACGTACCACAGGTTAAAGAAGTACGGGGGCCATGAACGTCCAACACAAAGCTTTAAAAAACAGCATTTTCTGCATTGGTCTGTCTGTTTGTAACCCACTCTTCCAATACCAACACAGCTACAGCAGATATGGCAGTAACTAAAAATAATGGGCTGCAGGAGAAATATCATTTACCTGTCCTTGCACAGAAAATGCGTTAACCCAGGTGCTGGCAGGACAGAACCCAGCTCAGCAAAACTGCTGTGTCCTCCTTTTTTTTTTTAAAGATCCACTTCTGTAAAACCCCCTCTCACGACAAAGGAAATAAAAATGTCAGTATGTCGCTCCACTCAGTGAGGACGCCCTAGAGTGCCCTACGGTAGGAGGCGCTTGGGAAATTAAATCATGCTTCCTGCCACTTCCAGCGCAGTTACAGCAGAGGTGTTGTTTTATTGAATTATTGCTAAGTGACCATACAAGAACCTCAACAGACATAACAAACATCACGAGTTCTGCTACTGTATGTATCCATTGTCTTCCGAAATGACTGCTTTTTGCCATTTGGTGCTTCTCGAGACAGCATGTAGAGTACGTACTGTACAGTATGTTCAGGTTAACTTTTATAACATTTCATTTCAAAAGCCCCCGGCGAACAGGCGGAGGTTACATTTAAAAAGCAACTGGTTTCAGATACAAGTGCCAAAAGCATGACTGTCTCAAATGAACAAGAAACTGAGGGAAATCGTGTTAAAGAACTAAATCTGCAACTTACACAGTAACTATGCACATACTGTAATTTTACAATTATTTTTCCCCAGCCTCTTATTAAATTTGATGTTGATAAATGCCTCCTCTTATGACTCACGTGTAGTCTATTCTGCCATTGTACAATGAGTGGGATAGCCTGTGAAGCACCAGGACGATTTTGAGCTTTACCCTCTACCTTATTAATTAACCATGGTAGACCGTGGCTCTTCACCATATCACCAAGTACTGCGAGTGAGTGCCACAGCCTTCCTTTGTATCTCTACATTTTTGAAAAAGGTAATGAATCAAACAGCAAAACTACGTGGGCACGTCTTTGTGCACTAGGTGGACAATTATAATGTTTTGCCCTTAACATCTGCACGACTGCAGTGCGTCATTTTCTCTTCTGGGCTCGTTGCACGATAAGAGTGGTCCCCTATTCTTCATGAGTCATACTGGTTGTAAGTCATCAAAGCCGGCATTTTTTTTAGAAAGCCGTGCACGCTGTTAGGAAATAATTTAATTTATCGTTTTAACATCACAGCAAATTTGTGATCCGCTTTTGTTAAAATGGTTAAAATTGGACATGCCAAGCCCTCAGCAATGGTGTGGACAGAAGACCAACCAGCCCAGTGCGCTGCCCCTAGAGACCCTCGCCAAGGATGCCCACTCTGGCCCCTGTCTCTGCCAACACCAGCTCCAGCTGCCTACTGCTTCTGTCAACAACACCCAGCTCTGCACACCACTCCACGCTGGCAGTCTTGTTCTTCCTAGACCATGTCCATGTCATGCTAGCCCTAGCTCATTTACTGTTCTTCATGGTTCTTGGCCCTCTGTCAGGGAATGCAATTGATTGATCAAAGTCGGCTTCATCGTCCTTTAATTTTCTTTAATGGAGAAAACCGGTTCAACTTCAGTCGTGCTGCTGGTTAAACATTTCAAACACCCCGGTATTGAGATCGATTCCTCTTTATGTCACGTGCCATCACAGTAAACAGTTTTAATTAAGTAGTTCAGGTGGGGAGCTGCGTCAGCATGTGTATGCTGCAAAGGAACAAGTAAAGGTTTATTCCATGCTGAAAAGAGAAGAAAGAAAACACTACGTTTTTGTGTTTTCTTTCTTCTCTTTTCAGCATGGAATAAACCTATTCCTTGTTCCTTTGCAGTTTTAATTAACATTTTGAAATGGGGAACACAGTCGTCAAGAAGAGAACATGGTTTCCCAGTTCTCTTCCCAGCTTGATTCTCCGTAAAAAAAAAACGAGAGGCACTTCCTCGCGTGGGTTTGTTTCAGACCCACGACTCCCCTTTCTCCCCCTTTAGAGAGCTGGGATATGAGAGCCGCAAACTCGAATTCCCAAATTCTTGAGGAAAGGGAAGCAAAACAGTATTAAATTCTCACCTCTACAGCAAGAAGGATCTGCAGGGTGCCCAGCTCTGACAAACTTTAAAGGCCTTTTCACAGATCATTTTTTTCTAAGTGAGCCAGTGCTCGCTTGGGAGCGAGCTCCAGGGTCAAAATAAAAACAAAAAGGAGCTTAGTTCCTTTTGTTTTCACCTATGAAAGAGACGGCGTTCACTTCAAAGAGAACTGGGTTCTTTTTGCCAGTTCAGATTTGTGGATGGAGTTCTTTTTATTTCTACACTGCTCTGTTGCAACGCTGCTTGCACACCGCAGGTGAGCAAACGCTGCATCTTGGCATACTGAGGAAGATGGCAGCTGGGAAGATCTATGCTGTTTATTCCAGCTTTTTCTTTTTTCAAGTTTTTTTTTTTGTTTTGCAGCTTTCAGGGAAAATCATGAATCAGACATCGCCAAAGAGCATTTTTTTTTTCATTTTCAAGTTTGATGGCAAGCTGGTGTGAAAGTGCATTGCTGCCATCCACAAAAAAAAAACATTTATCACATAATTATGTAATAATTATCGCACGTTTGCATGATAACTATTTGAATAGTAAAGCGTGACATAATTACATGAAAGTTATCAATTACATGACAGTAAATTACACCATTGTTACATGATAGCTTACTATAGAACACCAAGCCTTGAAAATGAATTCAGGGTGAATATAATAAAAGACTGTGGAGCTTAAGAACAAGTCTTTGCTCATTATGAATCCCCTATTTGAATGAAGTATAATGTAATGCAGGGAAATGTACCTAACAACTAAAAAACAGAGCTGACAAGCTGATATACAGGCACACTATCCAGTCCTGTAAGAATTAACTGCATTATGTTTCCAGCTTATGATTAGTTTTAATAGATGCAAAAATACAAATATGACAGTAAAGCAGAAGAGTGGAGCACACATCAGGCCTTTAGAGTTGTATAGCTTCTTGAAGGTTGTGGGTTCAACTTGCAGGTGAGATAGTGCTGCTCCACCCCAGTGAAGGTACTTCACTCAGATCACACCAGAGAAATGCCCTGCAATTGGGAACTAGGTGCAAATGGGTACTGTCCAGGTTGTCATAGTAAATAATAATTGAGCTATTATTGAGCATACCTCCTTGTGCTGGATACTATATGTGATAGCTTTCATTTAAATGAAATGAAATCATCATGACATTCTGTGCAAAAAGTTTTATTTTGCTGGAGGCAGCGGCATGCTTCTGAGCAATGTATACTGTCCCCCACCCTGTACGTATTTTCCACATCCAGGCATTCGCATTGTAGTGTGGATCATTTGGAAAAGGACTCAAGATCACAGTTTTGTTCACACTGCACAAATTAAAATCAACCAGACCAAGATCCTTGGCACAACCTAACTGAGTCCACTGTTGACCACTCCCTTATATCTAATCAATTCCTTACAGGCAATGCCCCCTTTTTTTCTTCTCTGTGGGCTCATAAAGACAGCTGCAGTACATTCAAGGTGGTCTTCACATATCCTAGGATCTGCAATCTCAAACTTCCTGGCTTCTCTTTCTTTTTTTACTTACGGCACTACTACTCTGCAATGCACGTCTAAGGCACTCCCTGGTGGGGAGGTTGTCTACACACCCAATACATAATCTGTCGGGCTTTAAAAACACTACAGAACAAAAGGACTGGCTTCCTCTATCTGTACCTCTCTGTCCAAGGCTACCTACAGTCTTTACAATCTGGCTCGCTGGGAGCGTGAGATGGATGAGGGTGGGAAGGAGCACGTTGTATAGACCGCCACTGTCTTCTTGCATTGCAGTGGAAGGAACGAAGGACATCTTCCTATAGACTACGTACGAACATCACTTTATAGGCTTCTCACAGCAAAAGGCTTGGCCTTACCACACTGAATGTCAAATAAATTAAACCCGAAGGCACAAACGAAATTTAATCCAGGCAAGCACAAAAAAAGCAAAGTAACTTGGCACACCTCCACCCTTCCTCTCTTACATTAATTACTCTTAATTCTTATATCTTTATAGCAAGCCACCATTTTTTGAACATTTTATTCCCCTTAACAAGGAGAAAAAAACACTGCGGCAAATTAAACATCAAATAATCACAGAGCACGGTAACTTTCAAGCTGGCAAACACCTCAGACAGTTTTCCTTCCAAGAGCACAAGCAACACCTTCCCCTGCAGGTAAGATGCAACACCTTTAAACTTCTTTAAGGTCAAGCAGCCTAATTGGGCTGGAATTGAGATGCTCAAATAAATTTTAAAAAAAGTCTTTGCAAGAAAAGAAACGAACAAGCTGCAGTGTCAACCGACATACTCACATAGTCATGAAAGGCCTTTGCTTCGCTGGAGTGCTCACAGGTCTCTCTCCTCTCCGGGGCCGCACAGTACAGATCCCAGAACACACTGCAATACAAACAAGTCTCAGTTCTAAACACACCTTTTTCCTCCAGTCCTGTACGTTTTTAATCTTGTTTTTCACTTTTGTGTTTTTCTCTATCAATGTGTACAGCATCCTTGTGTTGGGAGAGGTGCTTTATAAATAAAAGTTGTTTTTTATATTATTAGTAGTATTTGTATTATTTGAACAGGACAGGTCTCGCAGAGATAGCTGCATATTTTGTGATGTTTGCATTTCTAGGTAAGGAATTGAAATTAAAAATCAGTGTTCTAAATATGCTCTTTTCTCAGCACATCATTCTTTATCAGGAAACATGGGAGGCTGTTTAGTACTTGCAATGGTGTAAAATAAGGAAAATAATTTGTATGAATGTCAGCGGACACAAACTTTCTCTCCAATTTGCTCTCTGGAGTAACAAACTTATTTTAAAACTACATTTGATTTTTTCAGCCTGGGTGCTTAACTGGGTGCAAAAATAATGTTTCTTTGCGTGCAGTGAATTATGTTGAAGAATCTGGTTCATTTCATACGTTGGATATAAAAAATGCTAGAACAAAGTGACAGTGGGTGAAAATACCCACTACAAACAAAATAACGAAACTCTTTTCTTATTCTGCTTTTTGTCGTATATTTTAGTCAAAATCTTACAGGTATTTTTAATCGTGGGGTAAAACAATTATATAATAAGAATGAAATACAATAGGAAACAAAGGCTCTACAGAAGAAACAATAAAAGCATGTGAAAAGAAAACTAAATACATGGGCTGTCTGGTTCTAGGCATGCAAATTGCTGCCCAGTTCTGAAAGGCAACATTATTCATCAGTTCTATCATTTAGTAACTTCCATCCTGCAGGGACTCTGGGAAGGCCTTCAGGAATCTAGAGCAGTCAGAGGGTTAAAGTGGACTATGAGGTGCAATTAACGATTTGTGTGAGAAACAATGAAGGAGAACTGTAAGAAGCCAGATAACAGGAAAGGGTGTTGGGTATTGGGTATCTTGGGTATCAAAAACATTAGTCAGAGAACCAAGGTCAGAGAATTCAGAAAATTACTGATTCCGTGCCTCATCTTCTCATCTGCCCTGAGAAACGCAAGTTTATTTGTATATAAGCTGCTGAAAACGTGCATACTGTGGCTCTCTCCTGCGGTGACTGCAGCGCTTTTTCAAATTGTTAGGTTTGAAGACAGTTCTACTGGGGAGTAATCTCTACAGTTCTAGCCTGGAGGGTGCACGCCAGTTGAGCTGTCTCTGAAACAGCTGCAGTCCATACAGTAAACCGAATATGCTCCACATTCCTGTTGTCCCGAGAATCATCCTTTTACCACTCCACACTGGTTTAAAACTCTGAAGAAGACAACAAGCAGCCGTGTGCTTGCCAGTGCTGAGTAACTGCACATTTGTTTCATGTCATTAGTGTACGAAGAAACCTTTTGAACAGAGCAAAAACACACTAAATGGTATTTGTAATCTTATAACTGCAGTCACTGCCACAGTTAAGTGTTCAAACGTACAGTATGCAGCGACATCATGCAGTGTTTAAAAAAATACAGCTGTCAATTCTACTTGAACATTTCTATAAGGTAGCATAAAAATACTGTATTATCTTGCTCATGAACATCCTACAATTTGCTGATTCATAAACCAATACACTGCAGACAGAGTGAACTAAAATTCATTTCGCTGCACACTATGTACTAATGATAACTTCAACTACTAGCATTCCAAAGGATCTAAAAGGAAAAATTCAAGATATGCACTTGCAACTGAGATGCTTTCTAGCAGAGTGTTTTTTTCTTCACAAAAGGAAGAATAATTCAGCTTTACGGCATGCAGTAAGATTCTTTTTGTGTGTGGGTACACAAGTACAAAATAATCACTCGGTACAAACGCTATCACAAGGAAAAGACGGAAACACTCCCACCGCTTCAAACTGCCACTCATATTGCTCTCCTGATGCCCCACACTGCAGGGAGGCTCAAGAAAGCCTGTCAGCACAGCCCAACACCAAGTCACAGTGGGTGGACAACACCACTGCTCAGAGATGTGCCATCTCAGCCTTCGTGCACCGCAGCTATCAAAACTCACATCGAGTGGAAAGTTTTACAGCAACGCTTTGCATTTCCCTTCCTGATTTTCTTAGCCTTCCAAATCAGAATAAAATCTACCAGCTAGTTTCGGCCACTTCTCCCTGCGTCTGCATCACATCCAGTAATGACGATCGACTGACTATCAGCAGAATTGCAGCGGATAGCTCCCATGAGGGAGAGTCATACTCAGGGTGAAACTTCACGCCACAAGCCTTGTGTTGGGGAGCAATTCCTATCCCTACGGAAAAGACAGGAGTGAGGCAAACACACAAGTGCGATCAAGGTGAGCTTTCTTTCACTGAGGAAGCGAGGAAATGAAGATGAACACGGACTTACCACCACCACGAATGAAGAAATCCAGGGGGCTCTCCTAGTGTGATGTTCTTCTCCCATCGTATCTTGAAGAAGTGGAAAAAAGCGAGTTCAGAGCAGAGCACTGCTGACCCTACTGAACAGCGTTCTTTTCTTTCTTTAGTCTTTATGCTTTTGGTACAGCAAGAAAACACTCATGAGGCAGACATACAACACACACCACAAACAATAAACAATCGATACCACTCTATACACAGCAGAGCAATAACGACTGAGCAGACTTAACAGGAAATACTTTTTAAAAAGGACACAAATGTTTTCGTTTTGGTAGAAATAATTTCACCCATGATCAAGTCACTTGTTCCTAACTTTAAATGAGTCATGTTGTTTCATATAACGTACTGTAAATCTGTTTCTATATCTTCAATAGGTCCTCTAGCCATAAGGAGAAAATAATAATAATACAAATTTGTAATGTAAAACCGATTTATTTTCAACTTGTACAGTATATATATAAACTCATGCCAAATCATTCACCTACCCGTGTGTTAGCATTAAAATTAAGTGTCAATGAAATATAACACATCCCTTTTGTAAAATGGATTAACATCACAGTTTGATATTACCAGCTCCATGTTTAGCACAAATTCATCCGCAATTTAACAATAAGGACCAAAACATAAAATAAAATAAGTTAACAGTTTCATCTGCACTTTGACTTTTTCTTCAAAGGATCCAGTGTGAATGACTGCACCCTGAAACATGGCAGGAATCAAAACATTCAAACACACGATACCTTTCTCTCCTCCCTCAACCGAAAACAAATCCCTCTCCCTCCTTCATCTTATCTGTGACGAACGCTACAGTTTGTGTTCTTGTAACTACTGTAGCTGTTCCTGTGGAGGGCTTTTTGTACTGCTTGCATGCCATCTTCCATGTTGAAACACCTGGAACTACACACAGAGATCTAACACCAGCAGTCGTAGGGACCGCAGAGCCTGATCCCAACTCACTTCAGAAGCTGCTCTGTAAGGCCACAGATTGGTGGCCCAGTAGGTGGCACTCTTCCCTCTGGACCAGAATTCCCTAAACTAATGCTCCGGGTGTGGTGACTGGGGACACTGTGCTGTACTTCCGATGAGACTTTACATTTGCTGTCCAAAGAATGGGCAAAAGCCATCCAGAAACATAAAAATCGACTTTCAAGAACCGAGAGGGATTAAATCGTAACAGATTTTGGGAATCCTCTCTTCTGGGGAAGAAATTACGCTGCTAATACAACACTTCCTTGAAATACGGCAAGCTTAAAAGACACCCCCACCCCACACACAGCTCACACGTGGACGGACGTCTTCTGGCTGTGACTGTTGTTTACCAGCAGCACTCAAAAAGAGACTGACCCTTCTTAAGTGTTTTATGAACTGCGGCGTAAAAATAAAAGAAATGCCATCAGACATCAGCTTTTTGACAAATTGCTCACCCAGGAATCAAGCTCGTGAGGGGTAAATGCGTCTTTTCCGAGAATTTGCCGAGATACTGTGGAAACCCATCAAATATATACGGGAACACTGTAAATTTAAACACTTTACATAATTACAGCAAGGCAACATCCTTCCCAATACGACAGAACTGAAAGCACAGAGAGGGCTTGCTGTTCCAAGAAAATGACCCAGGAACTGCCAGAGCGAGGGAATTCACTGATGTGATCATTAATGTAATTACATGAGATATTATTACAATAAATTGTGTAAGATCCCAAATGATTGCACTGTTTCATTTTAATTCAAACTCCAGTGTAAAGGCACTAATGAGAAGACAAAGCTTATGTTTAATATTTAATAAGGCATAATTATAAACTTTATTTAAAAAATGGTGTTATAAAATACAATTTTATACTAGTCATGTTCAAATTAGGTTTTGGTGTAATGTAATTGAATGAGACAGCAGTATGCTGATGGTTTAAAAACTGTCACTGTCCCAGCCCCGGCCTGCACTGGGCTCAGCTCACAAAGCTCACCTGCCACAGAACAGGCAGACGAAAACTGCACAACCCTGCAGGGCAGCAGTAAGACCCGGGCGCCGCTTATGGGCTGCAACCAGCATCTCTCCTCTCCATCCCCACCAGATCAAATCCCGGCCAGTGCACTGGAGCGCCACCACTGGGGAGTCCCAGCCACAGCACATGTAGGCACAGGGCTCAGCCTATACCTGAGCTGGTGACCTCCAGGCCGTGGAGACAGCCCTCTGCACTGGGAAAATCTTCCTGCTTTTTCCATCTCATATTTCTATGGGTTACCCAACTGCTGAGCCGCTGGGTCAGAAAATATTTTAAGTAAAAATTCCACACATTGTATCTAATCTGATAGGGCTCTGTAACATGTCCAAAAAACATTTCCTACGATTAGAAACACAATAAGCATAGACCGGCCTAAGCAAAACATCAGGACTCACTGCTTCAGCCCTCCTAATACCTCATCGTCTGGCCTGTGTCTCACTCGGTCTGCAGCAAACTAAGAAGCCATTACTGCTCTCTTCAGTTTCCAACCTTCAGCATTTACAGGAGGGTTCTGTAGACTCTGTACACTAGCTGCAGGCCTGGGGATGGAGCACAGGCTTCTACCATAAACAGAGTTCAAGTGGATAATCATTTTTCAAACAATTTTAGTATTCACCCTTCAGAAGGAATGGAAATATTTACAGCCGTTTTATGTCCAAAGCACACCAGTGTTTATGCGGAGGCTTTCGGCTAATGGGCTCTAAACTCAAACTGAGGCCATCTCCCTTTCATCTCCCGATCTTCCGCTAAGTGAAAGCACAAACCCCCACTTGTTCCCCGGACCACTGTAACGCCTGAAATACCACGCAGGAGCCACAAGCGAGAGACTGGAGGAATCCGGAGGGTCAAATCCTCACCAGCGCATTCTTCTGCACAACTGCACGCTGTTCCCATTTAAAGACATTGGGTTTCCGCCTACAGACCTGACTGACCGAAACAAACAAAGGAAAAGGAAAGAAAACGCCGCAACAACCAAAAGCAAGAAGCAAGAAAACAAAAGCAGACACTGAGGCACTGAAAACTGGGAAAAGGTTCTTTGAAAGTCACACTAGCTATTTTCTGTGCCAAAAGCATGTTTTGTAATTGTCACTCTCTGCCACCTAAATCAACACTAAACAAAACTGTGTTTACCGTTGTAGTAAAACCTTACGTAAATTATTTAGCACCAAATGTAAGACAAAAGCACGATGCAGATCAGACATTGCACTTTCGTAAGTTCGCTCCACAAAAGACAAGTGTCAGATGAGACTTACCTCTGACAGAAAAGTCTGGGCAGATTTCTGGGCTCCTACATGGAGTAAGTATTCATACACGTAGAGCGCTAACCTGGAAGAGAACACAAATGGTGTTAATGGCATTAATGCTCATCTGCACTAGTAAAGGGGCAGATTGGAGCCCTGTAATGTCTAACAACTGGGAAGAAACTGATCCTCTAGGGCTGGTAAGACTCCAGCCCTTTTCAGTGTACAGGGTCCTGGTGTGGAGAGAGGACATGGCCCTGCAGCAAGAACCCAGGACAGACATCTTGCCTTTAACCTGCTTCCCCGAAAACGTCCACTTATCCTCTACCTATCCCCGTTTTATCCTATACAGGTTGTTGGAGAACCGAAGCCTATCCTGCCAAAGAAACAGGCACACGATGGGATGCACCTTGCCAGCCTATCGCAAGGCGCACACAGACACACACTCGCACACTCACACCAGGTCCCACCAGTATGTTAAGCCAATCACAACATACACCAGTATGTTCTGGGACTATGGAGGAAGCCCTTTGCGAACACACACGGGAAGAATGTACAAACTCCACGCAGGTCCAGAATTGAACCCGGGTTATGACTGGAGCTGGGAGGCAGCAATGCTAACGACTGCGCCACCGCGCCACCCCCCACCTCTCCAATCACGTCCCAGGAAATACGAGACCGACATGAAAATGCAGCAGTAAGCCGAGCACGCCGACAATAGCGCAATAGACCTCTGGAAAAGATGAGGCCCTCTGCTTCACGGACATGTCCGGCGGCCCACTGCACAGCCAGGGGAAGGAAGGCCAGCGGCCAGGAGGCCCCTGTCTCCAGCCGCGCCAGTTAATCAGAGCAGCCCAGAGGGAGCTGGGGCCTGGCGCTGCAGTACACTGCCCCTTCCCTTGCCCCAGAGTGGGAAGGACGAGCTGTTGAGAGCCTGGATAACCGGAGCTCCTTATCCACAGCCATCCCGCCTGGAAGGACAGGGGCCAGTCCCAGACAGAGCAGCAGCAGAGGCCCAGTCCCTGGGAGGCTCATGGTTCCGGCTTTCGGGTTCGATTGGGGAAACAGGTGCTTGAGGTGTTAAACAAGCAAGGGGCTGGTCTGAAAACGAGAAGCCTGGAGATTAGTCGTGAAGGACCCAAGGGGTGATGCTGAAGCTGGGTGGTCCATAAGACCAACCAAGGAAGGTCAAATCCTCCAAAAACTGTGAGGGCGAAGACACCAAACTGGAAGACTTCCACGGGTCCTCTTGTCAGGTTCAATCAGCCCTCTGTAGACTGACGCCCCTCCGTAGACTGACTTCAGAGACAGTTACCATAAAGCACCTGGAGCACTGTGCCGGCCCAATTCTGAATCTGGCTCTATTGAACTCCACGGACTCAGCCACGACTTCAAATGTACGAGATCAGTGCTTAAAACACACTCAGAACAACCCCTTCCTGATCACCTGGAATTAATCGTTGGTTTGCAAGAAACATATTCCAGACTCAGTTTACTTTACCATTGTATAACATACTGTACTGTATAATATCTGATAACCACATAATAATCTGAGTAATGCAAACCAGTGACAGCAGAGTGAATCTACTGTATAGTGGGACTGATAAGAATCAGGATTTTATAAAGGTTTTTTAACCGCCTAAATTCCATCCTAATGGACAGCAATATGCTCTATTTTCATAATTACAATTTTCTGAGAGGGTACGTTTAAAGATCCTATGGTCCAAGCATTCAGAATGAAATATTAATGCTATCTTGTGTCCTGTTGGTGTCTGCACAGTATAGCCATCACTATATACTAGTGGTCATGAAGTTCTTTGTCCAGAAGCACGAGTAAAGAAGCCTTCAACATGCAGAGAGAGCAGTGAACAACACATCAGAAGCGGAGAAGTAGATTTCTACTCTTTTTTAATTTCTAGTCAGATTGAAGACCAGGAAATTTAATTAAATCAAAGCATCAGAAAGTCCACACACGAGAAGAGGTCATACAACGTCCTCAGACATATATGGTTCTATTTTTCTGTAGTTCCAGAGCCAATCCTGGCTGTGCTGGAAACAAATACACTGGAATTCTACAAGTCTGAAACCTGATTGAGCCTACAAACCTAACCTATCCTGTGCAGGTATCTGGGAGGTGGGTAGAAACTGGAGTCCTCTAAGGAACTGCAGGTGAACACAGAACACTTTACTGCAAGGAAAGATAAAGAATAAAGAAATAACTAGCGCTTTTACGATGGGTGCAGTGTCACCAACTAACTCAACTTATTTAGCCAAACTGAAAAACCAAAAACTTTGGACTGAGAAGAATTTAGACAACCATTCCTTTAATTTGGCATCTGACTGGGGTCACTGGCAGCGTGGTTTGTTATGTACAAATCGTACCGTGTGCACATAACGACAGTGCCTCACAAAGAGCTGAGCAATGGTTCCACATCACGGCAGAAACTGTTGTGAAGTTAACTTGGACCACAAACATTCAAGCAGATGTGATGCAAACATATCTGAATTTATGAATAAACACCCCAGAGATGGACAGAATGGCTGCTTCAAGGTATCACAAATGATCACACCAATACTGACTTCTGCTTGAAGTCAATGTGTCCTAATACAAAGAATTGTATGTGTCCTGTGCAAAGAATTACTTAAAAATAAATCTGTACCTATTCATGTTAATCCGACTAGAACAATTACAAATCACTTGACTGTAAATTAAAAATAATGGTTGTGGCTTTGCCATCCCAGTACTTTCTGAGGGCCCTGTATAAACAGAATTCAAACTAACCTAAACAGAGAAAAATTGAAAAAGGGCTTGGAATGCACATCACATGTTTTGTTTTCATTAGTCTTCTTCTGCTTGACGTCTATAGCTGTGCCAACTTGACCTCTGCTGCACCGCTGATAAAACCACCCATAAATCCTTCAGTACACACCAGTCTGCCTGCCTGCTTCACCTAGCACACACTCTGCAGACAGGCTTTCAGAGTGTTCATGCAACACTGTTCCCTCTAAGCTGGGAATATCAATTCCAACTTCTACTATCAAGACTAAAGTTCACTTTGGATTTGTGCAGCACACTTTGCAAGCAAAATAAACATGTTTTTAGCAGCCTGAGAGGTGAGCCTAATCTCCAAGCACAAAACCTTCAAAGTCAACAGCATTACAAACAACAGTCTAGAACGTGATCTGGGCAACGAAAGCACAAGAAGCACAAAAACCTGCTCCTTACTGCATGAAGCCGCACACCTGCAATGCTCTCGTCCGAGCAGAGCCTGCCTGACAATGTGTGAACAACGACACACAAGAGGACAAACAATCCAGGTCTGATCAAAAAATAGAAGTGTGACTACTGGTTTCAGAAAGGGCTGCCCTGACAGAATGTGGTTCTCGGCAATGAGAAACGGCAGCGGGGCACTGTAGGAGAGAGAGAGAGAGGGAGGGAGGGGGAGAGGGCAGGCTGTGCCAGCAGGGTTCGCCTGAGGCCACAGGCCTGCGGGACGTGCCTGCCTGCTGCTGTTCCAGCGCGAGGTCTCGGACGGTCATGGGCCCTGCCACACCTCAGCAACGGGCCCAGTCCTTCTCCTTTGTTGTCCAATCAACCCCCCCCACAGAACATAGCAGGCCAGAACTGAACCACCACGGCCAAGAATTCATAAAAACATCTACAGAGGGGCGTTACAAGCTGGCAGCGAGAGGATAAAGACTGGTTGTGCTGGCAACGGCAGAGACGCTCGTTGATACTGAACAGCGAGCCCCCATACCCTTATCAAACCCCCCCCGTTCGGTTTCTTGTTCCTTATCCTTTCTCTTTTTGTTCATGTACGGTTCTTGCGTTCAAATGGTAAAAATCCTTCCTTCAGAGGAGCAACAGTTCCATTCTGAAAAGGATACCTAGCTATAATCCTAAAAGAAACAAGAGTGTCTAACGGCTTAGGCACACACTTTCAGCAAATGGGTAAGGAAGGGCACAGTGCAAAACACTTGTCTTAGTGCCAGGATTCAGGATTTTCCATCATTCCTAAGCAAACAGAAGAAGTGTTAAAAATAACACAAAACGCAATTCAGAGTGACTGTCTAAAACCATGGCTTTCAGGCAGGTACACATACCATGTTTCGGACCCGTGTTAATGTTGTTCTTATTACCTCTGCTGGACTCCCCCTGACGAATGTGCAGAGGTATGGATCAGAAGTTAGCCCAGCAGTAACATAACACACAAGTTAGCCACCTAAAAAAACACAGACGTACAACTGAAAGCCCAACCATTTTTATCCGACATAATTATACACCCAAAGAAACTGTCGCCCGCTCTACCCAAAAAGCATAACTTCTCGCTAAAGATCATCTTTCACACAGGCACAGCCGTGAGGATCATTATGAACAGCACCTGTGCTGCTCCTTATCAGAGGGCCGTATTTTGCCACACTTCCTCCTGTGCAGAAGCACTGCACATTCTTCAGCTCTACATGGCTGCTCCAGGCCCTGCAGCCTGTTCACTCTGGCCTCCTGGACAGAAGCTCGATTCCACTGCACAGGTGCACATTTTAACTACGACTGATGACTTATGGGGCGGCAGGGCAGTGCAGTGGTGAATACTGCAGCCTTGCAGTGCTCGGGCCCTGGGTTCAATTCGAGACCTGGGGTGCTGTCTGTGTGGAGATTGTATGTCCTCCCCAAGTTCATGTGGGTGTCCTCCGGGGGCTTGAGTTACTACCAGCATGTCTTTCGACTGTGGGAGGACAAACTGGCTCCTGTAAACTGGCCCTGGCGTGACTGTGTGCGTGTGTGTCTGTGTTGGCCCTGCAACAGACTGGCGTCCCGTCCAGGATGTGTCTTGCCTTGCACCCAATGCGCCTTGGGATAGGCCCCGGGCCTCTGAGACCCTGGATTGGATAGGTGTTTACTGGAAGTGATGAGATGATTAAATATTTTGAACCACTGGACGAATATACTAATCTACTAATAGTCTAAAGCCTCTATGGCACCTATTGCAGTGAAGATGCCTCTCACTCCAGCTCCATCGCTCTCTCAGCTGCACAGAAAAACCTTTGATCCCCCCCTGCTCCAGTGATTTGTTTATTAAATCCCCT